TCTTGTGTAATATATATATATATATATATATATATATAGCCTCATCCACATGTAAAAAAAAAAAGACTAAAAATAATGGCTTCACTAATACTAAAAAAAAGGAAAAGCCAACACTTAATAACATAAATAGGGCCAAAATGTAATGGCCATATTTGGAAAAAAAACAAAAAAAAAAAAAACACTACCGTCAGTTTAGAAACATATATATATATATATAAAAAAAAAAAATCTAAACCTTCAGTTAGAAAATAAAAAAAAAAATCCTTGCTAATGGCTAATAGAATAGTCGAAAGCGCTCGGATATATAGAACATTCGGACAGTTATTACACACATTATGTCCAGAAAAGAAATCACTTATGCGAACCCAAGAAAAAAAATAAATAAATAAAACACTTAATCGCAATACCTTTTCAATTGTGTGTTTTTGTAGAGCAAAATTGACAAGGTAATTTTGTTTAGTTTTTTTTTTAATTGTTTTTCATATATTTTCTTTTCTATATTTAATTATTATAAAATTTGTGAAAAACATTATTGATTCCGAACGTTTCACTTAGCTATTTCCAAGGTTTTTATTACTATACTAAATTCTGTGTAATTGTTATGGTAGACAGTATTTGGAAATTAAGAATATGTCTGCTTTCAGCAAATTTTATACCTTCTACAATAGCACTTATCACACTATCTTACTTATTATAAAACGCAGAGAGTGTGTGTGTGTGTGTGTGTGTGTGTCTGTAACGTTTATATGTTGGATCGAATTTCCTACATTTTTTAGCCGATTTCAACAAAACTTCACAGGACTACATAAAATTACCTTGTGGTGGTTCTAACGGAGCCGAAAATGGGAAAAACACAGTTGTTTTTTAAGAAAATCATTTTGAAAACACGATTAAGACACATCGTGAGAATGAAAGGGGGACAACTCACCCACGAAAATGTAAACAAAAGAGCATAGCATGATGAAAAAGACGCCGAACTTGACGAAAACAAAATTTTATCGTCTAATGTTCATATTATTATTAAAGAGGAAAGATCAAAGTATTTTGGGGGTATTTTTTTTACATTTTTTAATCGTTCCTAGCACGTCTGAAATTTTCGTTAAAAATAGTTTTTTTTTTTGGTCAAAAAAAGGACAGAATCATTTTCAATCATTTTTTTCGATTTGATAAAAAAGATTAAAATCTTACTTTGATATTCTTTTAAAAATCAATTATCATTTTTTCAAAACTGATTTTAATAAAAACAGAAATTATACTGTTTATTTAAAATATTTTGAACCAAGCTTAACTTAGCTTCTGCGCCGACAAAATGTAATTTGAAAATAAAACAAAGCAGGTCATAACCTTTCGCGTCGCTTGACGATTGACGAAAGGCACATTCATGACGTTTAGATAACTTACGGGAGGAAAATTCTTTCTACGGATGGAAGGAAGTGAAATTATTTAAGTGAACAAATTATTTACCTTGTTACTTTTAAGGAAAACTTTCAGCGCTCTAATTTTTTTATTTTTTATTTTTTTTTGTACTTAGCTTTCATTTTACGTTTACGATGCTTTATGGAAAATATAAAGAAATTAAAAAATAAGACTGTTAATAGTGAGATTAAATTTCATAAGAAAAAGGTATCTAATTAATTTAGGTACCTTTCTTATGAAATTTTATCAGAAAATATACATAAAATACTATAATTTTATGTACATTTATTACATTTTACTGTGTTATTTGTATTTCCATTCATTTTATTATTAATTTTGATATTTCATTTATGGAAAAATGTCATAACTGAGATTAATATAAAAATAAGATCATATAAATTAAAGTTTAGCAGTAGTTAAATTTCATAAGATGATACTGTTACTTGTAGGTACCCTTCTCAGTTGAAATTGAAAACTCAAATTAACTTCTCCATACGTGTTTCGCAAAAAGTAAAGGGCTTAACAGCGGAGAACAATGCTGAACTCAAATAATGCAACTAAATTGTATTCTGGTTGGTCTTCCGTACGTGATAATTACTGTCCTACTATAAAAACACAAAATTACATTTCTTAATTACCATGGCTAATCTGATTGGGCCAAATTATACAATTTTCAAAGCGCTAGACAATGACAATCTCACACGGACATTTTGAAAGGTTGATGTTGCTTTTAAGTTTTAACTAATGTTAAAATATTTTTTTAAATTCAATTTAAACATTTTTAAAAAATCTTTTTAAAATTAAAGAAATAAAAAATAATTGTATTAAAAATTCAATTTTCATTGAAAAGATTTTTTGCTTTCAGAAAATATTGTCCATATTCATAAAAACAAATTAAAACAAATAAAAGCATTTGAAACTAAATAATATATTTGTTTTATTGAGTTTTGTATGTTACAATTCACAGCTGATTTTCAGGTACGTTGGCCCAAAAAAAAAAAAAACTAAAAAAAAAAAACATGATTTGCATTCTTCAAAGCCTTGTGCTTTTAACTATTGTAATCACTAAAACCGATGGTCTAGAATTTCTAGAGTTTTCATAAAATTAGTTATGGGGTGTTAATAAATATAAAAAAAATATTTCTGCCATGACTATAAAAAAAAAAAAAAACATATTTATAATAATTTCGATCATCTGTGAATAGTTTCTGAAAGTTTCATTAACATCTGACAATTATTTTTATTTTTGCAAGATTTTCCAAATTAATGTGTGTAAATACAAAAAAACGCGCTAAAAATTATCTATGTTATTTACTACCCCTTGTTGCGACAAAGAGAAACAAGGTTTTTTAAATCAAAATTTAGAATATTCTAAAAAGATGGAAAATTTTTTAAAAAATAATTAAAAAAAAACAGTCTATCCTCTTCATAAAAACATAAGCATTTTGACGATAAAATTTTGTTTTCATAAACTTTGGCGTCTTTTTCATCAGACTATGCTCTATGTTTTAGCGATTCCGTGGAGTGACTTAGGTTTAAAAACCCAGGTTGTTTATGTGTGTGTGTGTGTGTGTGTGTATGTGTGTGTGTGTTCCTTTATATATGGGATCGGATTTCTTACATTTTCAGCCGATAAAACAAACATCCACTTTTTTTTTTTTTCGGCAGGTAGTATTTCTTATTGTCTTGCACACTTTTTTTCTTTATTTACATTCAGAATGCTTTAAAAATTCCATTTACAAGACAATTGTTTATAATAAAATTCTATTCACCAATCGATAGACTCATAACGATTGTAAACAATGTTTTTGTTTGAATTTGGGTTTGACCAATTCGTAAAAAAAAAAAAAACTAATTATGACATGCGTGTCCGTCAACCTTAAACAATAATCTTTGTCAATTTTATTTTTCAGTCTTTATGATGGTCGATACTTGATCTATCTCTTACTGTTACATCCCCGGGCAACGCCGGGCTCTACTGCTAGTTTGTTATAGTAGTATAACAAAAAATAATTTCTAAAAAAGGCTAATAGCTAGCCGGAAACGCTCGAATCAGACTTTTGGACATATTTTACAGAGATTAAATCCAAGAAGTAAATGTACGTTTTCAGGAAAAACAAATTAAACAAAAGTTTAACGAAATGTGTATTAAAGAGGGATTGTTGCCTTCCTGCTCGGACCAAGTCAGGAGACAAACCAACCCTCTTTAGGTGATTAGCTGGCCTAGTCACAACCCTGTTACACAAGGTGGTATCTTATGAAAGCATTCAAGTATAACAACGCTGCACTTGTCATACAAGTCTTAAAACACCCGCATCTCTTCCACCCCAGACACACATTATTGCAACAAAACATTTTCTATTATAACATGGGATTATTATTGTTTTGTGTACATCACAATACATGTACTGCAGACGCAAATAGATATTAAAAAAAATGTATATTATTTTAAAAAAATATGAAAGAATTTACTAATAGACAATTTATTATATAAAACTATTTTGCGTCTGTGTGTGCATGTATTTACATTTGTGTGTGCGTGTGTCTAGTTGAAGTAGTGAAAGAGTGGCGTTTGAGGATTTTTAAAGACCTCAGCATATGTACATATTTATCTATTGAGCCTAGTTTATATATATCAGTCAACCTAACTGTTCATATCTATCTATCTATCTATCTATCTATCTATCTATCTATCTATCTATAAATATATATATATATATATATATATATATATATATATATATATATATATATATATATAATTTCTATTTTCTTTTCTTGCGAAAAATCTCATCAAGATTTGATTTTATGGCGTTTTTAGGTCGTTTAATTGTTTAGGTAATTAAGAGAATTAATTTCCGGTAGTCATTTTTATCTACAAGATCCATCAAATGCTGTCATTTTCGTTATTTAAAAAATGGAAAACTGTGATGTTTCAGTTTTTAACAGCTTGTACGTGTGTTAACGTGCTGGAATTTTTGCCTATTAACATACAATATGAATGTGAGGGTAGCGTAATGGTTATCGGTGCAGAAAATGAAATCGGCTTAATCTCGCGTGTTCTCTTCGTACTAATCTCCTTGGGAACGGCATTAATCTAGTTCTTTTCCCCTCCGCTATGGTTTAAATAGCAGGGTCGACTGAGCTCTCTAGCCTTGGCTGGTAACCAGTCTAAAAGGACTAATCCGAATTCAAAAACCGTGGAAAGGTCATAGTGAAACCATTCAACACTAGATGTCATATCAATTCACAAATAATAAAGAAAAGGAATCTGTAGAGAGCCATGATCACCTACGTTCTGATTAATTGATTGATTGATTCATTTTCTACGGGTTATGAACCCTTTGCAGCTTATTTAAAGCAAGAAAATTTTTTTAGATCGTAACAATTTTTTTTTTTTTGGAAATAATAAATGTTTACGGATACAAGTCTTACTAATTAACTCATAACTGGGAGTGAGAAAGAATTCATACCTTTCCCAAGGGTATTTGCGCGTAGGTGACTATCACGAATTCAACGAGAATTAAAACTCGGCGGCTCCCCGATTAACAATTCCGAGTCTATTATCCACCTGCACATCCAAGCTTACAACACCTGGTATTCCCAAGCAGTCACCTATCTAGGTACTAACCAGGTTCGACGTTGCTTAACTTCATTGATTGTACGCGAATCGCAGTTTCAATGTGATGTAGCCGTAGGCCACCGTTCTGAAAGTACATGGCATTAAAATACCCCCCCACTAAAAATAAAAAAAAGGAACATTAACATACCACTGGAAATATTTTTAAAGTTTTAAACCAATTTTCACATCATTTGTTGTTTTTGTTCTAAACTCAAGACAACCTGACTGGGATTTACGATCCGTTATGCTGGGCGTATGTCTCTCTTCATATTATACAAGCCATACATGGGCACCTCGAGGCGGTGTAATGGTTAGCAAGCTTGTCCCGCTAGAACACTTACAACTGAGTCGTGAGTTCAATCCTCACTGGGTGTCCCATACTTTCGCCCTTATGCCACATCTAAGCTACGCTTGGAAAATCACTATACAAGCCATACTTATTTGGAACCATGATGTCTGATATAGTCTTATTTTAATTTATACTTGTTACTGTTAAGATTCATGCGAACGTTATTTGGTGATAGGAAAATCTGTTACACTCTGGTAAGACATTGTTTGTTACAGCGTTTATAATTTTTAATATCTACATTAAAATATCTAAATTATATACTAATGGGTTCACCGATATATGTCTTAGAATCTTTAAGGTCACCAAGTTTAATGTCCAATTTTGGTATTTATTTTTGATGTTGGAGGACATTTATAAATAATAATTTTCATTGATTGAAGCATTTATATGTGTGGGTCAGCATTAATCTATATAAATAAAACTACTGGTAGCTTTATAGCGTAAAGTAAAAATTATCTGAACCTGTTCTTCCATGTATCTCTTTTAATATTACTCTTAATGTATTTTATGGGTTGGAGAAGTGCGTGCATTTGGAAGCCTGAAAAACAGTGGGAGAAAATATTACAGGTTTCGAATTCTGGTCAAGGATCACCAATATGATTTATACTCTTGGAAAAGGCATAAACACGAATTTTACTTTATTGTATGTCATTCGACGGTCTTTGTTTTGACATAGCTCTCCTGACAATGTAATATACAAATAGATAGATTATTATTATTATTTGTATATGTTATGTTTCCTACTTTGTATCCTGTAGAGCTGGGTCCAAACTATGGTCCTTAGGCCCTATAGGAGAATTGTCATTTAATTGATAGCACTTTTCTTAGTATATGGGATGTTCCTAGTAGGACGATTTTCTGGACAACATGTATGTTGATGTTACCTGGAACACTGTCAGTAAAATTGTCTATTCCTTTTCTCACGAAGCCCAGAGCTCCGATTACTATTGGTACAGTCTCAGTCCTCATTCCCCACATCATATTAATTTCGATCTCCATGTATTTGGATAATTTCTCGATAATTTTCATGGAGATGTTTCTCTCAGATGTTATTGCTATGTCAATAAGCATACCCTTCCTGAATTTCTTGTCTTTTATGATAATATCAGGTCTATTAGCATTTATTTCCCTGTCAGTTTGAATTGACATGTCACAGATTATTGTTATTATTATTATTGTTATTATTATTATTGCAGTTCTTGGGTTTTCACCTCGGCTGTTACTGTTGGTTTTCACTAGAGATTGAGTAACATTAAACTTCCTCAACGTTCTCGTTGCTCTGTTGGCAGGCCTTAGAATACGTCAATTGCATTTCCTTCGAAGGAGTAAAACTTCCTCCGAAAGTGTCCACCTAAAACTCAACTATAGACCAGTCAGTACCTAACTTTTGTGACTCTGATGTTAATTGGATCAATATCTACTTTTTGTTATTCTGGTCTAAAGCGAACCCATGTCTACCTATGTGTTAATTTATTGTGATTTTTATCCTATAAGACATTCGACATTAAATACCCCAACAAGAATTGATATGATGTTAAATTAAATAACTGAATTCTCTTAGCACTTTTGTCAGAATCCTAGCTGTTTTTACTATTGGTGTTGTTTGGATTGTATCGATTTCTCAAGATCTTCACAAATCCTCCCAACACTGTAGTCAGACTCAACTCTTTCAAGCTTAATCTCGATTTCAGTGTTTTGTGTACAGTTCTAAGTGCATCTACTACTACTGACACGACTCTAAACTTCATATTCTATATCAGCTCTCGGAGAAGGTCCTGGTACTTTTGCAAATTTTCACTCTCCTTTGTATTCATTAGTTTCTCTTCTAACAGTGCCACAATATAACAGGTTCTTTTTTTACCCACTTATTCGTGGTTACTAAATTTGGTATTGTTGGTTGGATGGCGTGGTTGAAATCTCGGCGTCCGTATCTCGGACTATTTTGTGATATTTGTTCTAAACAGTTTTTTGCGGACTTATCTCAATGAGAATCTACCAGGAAGATGGATCGGGCGTGCCAATTATAATGACAATGTGCTGTTTAAATGGCCACCACGTTCACCTGACATGACACCTTGTGATTTTTTTTCTATGGGACTAGTTAAAAGGACAAGTCTGTATCCCACCTCTTCTTACAAGCATAGAGGAATTTAAGCAGAGAATTACTGAGGCGCTGGACAATGTTACGCAAGACATGCTACAGCATGTTTGGCAGATGCTGGACTACCGACTTGATGTGGTGCGCACATTGAACATTTGTGAAGCTTTGTGAAATCGGTTATAAAAATCTACATCCCTTTGAATATCTTGTTCAAATTTCGATAAATAAATATTTTCTTGTTCAACATGAGGCCTATTTAATTTTGTTTGCCTGGGACATGTAGTTACTCAGATATTCACATTTTAAATAATGTCAAGTTTTGGGGGACAACGTGTATATTCATTATTTACAATGACTTGTAGCCACTTATACAACTCTTCGACACCTTTCGAATAAAATTGAAGTGAAAAACTTTTTAAGCGAACTTTCGAATCATGTTTTCTTTAGAGGAATTTTTTCCTATGAAAAGCGTTTTGCAACGATCGAAAAATAATAATCGTTTGGTGTAAGATTAGGTTAATATGGCGGATGGGGTAGAACAGACCAACCAAGTTGAAAAATTCACGTGTTAATTCTTGCTCTATGCAATCTTGCATTGCTATGGAGGTGAACAAAATATTTCCTTTAATCTACTGTGTATTTAGCCCCTGCTGAGCAAAATCTAAGACATGTTAATACTTCAAATGTATTCTTATTTGCCATGTATGATTGGCAGTTAGAGTGATATATTCATCTTTACAACTGGTTCCCCAAAAAACGGAAATCACTTATGACTCATCCTAATAGCAATAATTATTAGAATCATAATACAGAGGTTACATAGCAGTATAATCTCTCAGGGCATTAATATTGTAGAGGGTTCGATCCACTCTAAGTGTGCCTTACTTGTAGATTTGTAGTCAACAAGCTCAGGAAATATCAATAAAATACTAATGTTTTAAAAAGATCCATTGCATCTCGTTTGGGACAAGCTATTTACTTGTAATTAAATATATCATCTTGTTCTTTCCAATTCTGATTCAAGGTTTATTTTCTTATTTTCATAAAGATGATCAACCCGACTCCTTCTAAAGCTAGTATGTTAGCTAATAATTTATGCAGCTATGGCACTAATCAAGATTTCTTCATTATCGTAATGATTGACGCTATATCTTAAAAAACATAACCACCACTACCACCACCACCAATAATAATGATTGACGCCATATATTAAAAAAAAACATCATCACACCAAAAACACCACTACCACCACCACAATAATAATAATAACAATAATAATAATAATAATAATAATAATAATAATAATAATTAGAAGTACTCGTGAAAACTACACGGTTTTGATATTTGAATTTCTGATGAATCATAATTGTTAAATTCATGATTGAATAAACACCTTGTGAGTTTTTCAACTATAAAATACCAGTGGAAATTCCCTTATTGCTTCGTAAAATATTTGAGCTTAACAACTTTAACAAAATATTGCAATAACAATCATAAGTTAGAATGCAAGATATTATTTAAACAAGTAAGAGGGTACAAATGAAAAGATCTGAAATTAAAAAAAGGTTTTCCATTTTACTCAGCGCTGAAATTGATACAACTTCCACAAAATCAACAAGAAAACTGAAACAAGAAGCGAAAAAGCCAAGCCAAAAGCAAATAGAAGAAAGTTGGCGCCAAAAGCAAATAGAAGAAAGTTGGCGCCAAAAGCAAATAGAAGAAAGTTGGCGCCAAAAGCAAATAGAAGAAAGTTGGCGCCAAAAGCCTCTACATAACCAGTTCCTTCTCTGAAGCAAAAATGTCAACGTAGATTAATTCGCAACTCATCAGTGGCTAAGAAGTTCACGACTTAAGGGTAAGACCAATAGGTTTATTCTTGCTGCACAAGACCAGAATGCTTGCACAGAACTACCAACTAATGTCTTGTATAATAATACCGACCCAAAATGTAGGTTCTGTGACCAATACATTGAAACTATTGATCACCTTATCTCAGGATGCTCAATACTTACGCCCAATGAGTACAAAATCCTTCATGACAGGGTAGGTTAATATATGAATTGATCTGTCATCAGTACGATACAAACAGCTGCAAACTGGTATGAACGTTATCCTGAATTTGTAGTTGAGGGAGCAGATGATACTTTCGTTTGAGATTTTTCTCTCTACACAGATCGAACAGTACAAGCAAATCTCTCAGACGTTATTATCAAAGACAGGAAAAAATGTTTGTACACCGATTGACATGAGCGTACCAAGTGAAACAAACAACTCCGCGAAGTTCTTTTGAAAAAAAAAACTAAGCAAGTACAAAGACCTGGAGATGGATATAGAAAAAAATGTGGCACCTAAAAACGAAAACTGCTCCTGTTGTGGTTGGAGCTTTGGGTCTGATAAAGGAAGGAATTCAACAACAAATCGACAAAATCCCTGGTGCACCATCTCCCCAGGAAATAAAAAAAAAGTTTTAACGAGCACAGCTCATATTCTGCGAAGAGCTTTGTCATTTAAGATTTTTTTCTTAATAATTGTCTTTTGTTTAATTAAGTGGAAACAACAAAAAATAACATCCATCGCTTATCCTAGGTCATTGGTTATGACCAGGGATGGGATTATAAAACAAAT